ACTCCGAAGGGCTGGGCAAAGGTAAGATAATACCCATGTATAAGCAAAGGGATGATGTGCTAAGCTATGGAAGCTAAAAAAGGAATAATGCTTGTGCAATATGTGATGGAAGTCTCTGAGGGTAGAAATAGATATCACCAAACAAAGTGGATCAGCTTTGCCAGGATGTGCCCTGGCACATCAGATCAATGCATGTCACCTGTTGTCCTGCCTGTGATGTTGTAGGATAATGGGCAAGGTGCTTGAGGGGCTTGGTTTCACACACCCCAGGGATTCTCATGAAAAATCAGGCTCCACAAGCCCTAAAAGCACCTGCTCAGCTTTCCCCACATACTGAGATGTTGTGTCTCAGTGTAAGAAGGGAAAGCTGCCGTTTTGCTGCTCAGAGATATGTCCCCAGAATCTCCAAGAAATCCTAACTTTTCCTACTTACCAAGGTGTGCTGCAGAGATCCCAGGGATGCATCTTGATAATCAGGGAAACCCCAACTTTCATTCCTTACTGAGATGTGCCCCAGAGATCTTGGGGCCATGTCGGTGTAAATGGGGAAAGCCAAATAGGTGCTCCCAGGGTTTGAGGGGCCTGATCCTGCCTGGGAACTCCCAGGGTGGGCAAGGTCAGGTCCCTGAAGCCCCCGGATCACCTGCTGTAGGCATCTAGAGCAGGGATGGACAAAATATGGCCCATGGGCTGGATCTGGCCTGCCAAGGCATTTTGTCTGGCCTGCAGCAGATCCCTTGCCTGGCCCAAGTGTGCGGAGCATCTTGGGCGATGTTGTGTGCAGCTGGTCCTACCACCCCAGGGCACGCAGTGGGGCTGGTGCAGTTCGATGGCTGAACTGTTTCCTGGGAGCCCCAGCAGTGGTTCCTTCTGGCCACCGCTGCCAGACCCAGCCCCACTAACCAGGCACCCTTGCCCAACTGCCCCACATCCATCACCAGGAGCGCCAAACTAAGTGGGCAGGTGAGGTCTCCATCGAGACCATCTGGGACCCACATTGACAGGGCATGTGGCCAGGTGGATGGGGTGGGGCTCCGGGCATGGAGTGGCATCCAGGAACAGGTTGGGCAGTGCTGGGGATTGGGATTGCGGGGCAGTGACAACATGGGGCTGGATCCCAGGGCAGAGCTGCAATCTTCTGCCTACACGCTCCTGCAATGGGTGCCAGTTCTGTGGGCAGAGGCATGCAGGGAGCAGATCACGGCTGTCTCAGGCCTCAATCCCGTGCCGTCACCACCCCACAATCCCGGCCCTAGCCCTGTCCACCCATCCTATTCCCGGACACAGCTCCCACTGGCCCCATCCCAGCCACATATTCCTCCTACAGTGGTCTCCATAGAGGCCCTGGGATCACAAGGCAGTGACGGCACAGGGCTGAGCCCCAGGGAGCAGACCTGCAATCTGCTCCCCATGCCCCCTTGCCCACAGAACAGGTGCCCATTGCAGGGGCGTGCAGGGAGTAGATCATGGCTCTGCCACAGGCCCTGTCCCTGCACTTTCATCACCCCACAATCCCAATCCTAGCCCCAGCCTTGGCCCTGCCCACCTGTCCCACTCCTGGATGCTGCTCCCCACCCACCTGCAGCCCAATCCCAGCCACCCGGCCAAGTGCGGGGGCCACTTCAGGAGTTTTTGTGAGCTAGCGGAGGAGGGTGCTGATATGACCCGCGACAGCTCACTAAAACTCCTTAAGTGGCCATCTGGCTAAGATGATTGCCCACCACTAAGTTAGAGGATGCAAGCATCTCCAGACTGCCTGTATTCTTGTGCCATAAAGTAGACATCTGCCACTAAATAGCAGCACAATTGAGACCACCTTTGTAGAGCACCCTTGAATGCAGCTACTATTTGCTGTGTGACAAGGGGCATGAATGTCTGTGTGCTTAGTCTTTTTGCCACCATAAACATTTTTATGATGCCACAAAAGTGACGAAAGGAGACATCTGTTCCATTCCTGACAGGATCATGGACAAGCAGTAGTGAGTGAATAAAAATACATGAAGTGTAGTTTCAATTTGTAGAAGGTAAGAGACCACAGATGCAGTATTAGTGATGAGACAGATGCAGGAAAAAGTTCCAAGAGAGGAATAAGGATCTATATTTTGCATTTTTGGACATGGAGAAGGCATTTGATAGTATTCCCATTAGTCAGTACATTGGTGTTGGAGAATGGAAGGACTGTCAGAAAAGGTTTTGCAAGTGGTAGAAACAGTCTATAGATAGGTCAGAACTACACATAGAATGACAGAAGTCTTTGGCCCAGCACCCAGGTTCTGTGCTAAGCCCATGGCTGAAAAGTCTTAAAACTTTTAGAGAAAGGCAGTCTGAAAAGGAATCAGAAGAACAGATGTAGTGATGAGTAGCAGATGTGGATGGGAAGACAAACTAGTGAAGGATAGAAAAGGGGATTTCATGGAATCTCAAATGACGAAGGCAACTGTGCAGCAGAAGTAAGAAAGAGGGTTGAAATGCGATGGAAAAAATTGAAAGGTGTTGTAATGTCCATATTTACCTGAATCCAAGACGACTTTGAATTTAGAACAACCTCCCCAAAATTAATTCTATACATGGACAATTATAAAAGTGTGCTTTTCCCCCCGATGTCTGCTCCCTCCCACTGCCTGCCTCTCACCAGCCACTTGCATCCCATGGTAGCCCCCTCTTGTCCTTGCTACTGCTGCATGCTGCACTTGCACTGATTTCCTTGCTACTCTCTGGCTGTGCTCTGGATCCTGTTGCACTGGCTCCATGCTGATTCCCTCACTGCTCCCTGGCTCAATAGGGAGGCAAAGGGCAGTGCAGGACCCAGCAGGGAGCCAGAGAGCAGTGAAGGAATCAGCACTGGATCCTACAATTCCCTCTGACTTCACACTGAGCCCCTCACTTTTCTAGAGCACAGAGCTCTAGGGAGCAGTGAAGGAATCAGGATGGTGCCGGAGAGCAGTGTTGGACCCAGTGCTGTCTGGAGGTGATGCATTTTTACTAATTACTTCATTCTAAGACATTGAATGGGGATTAAAAAACACCTCATCTTAGAACTGAGTAAATATGGTACTGGATATGATAAAAGGATGACAGACTTGTGACCTGACAGTGTTGTTAAGGCTTTTGACAAGACCATAATTCTGAACCTTCCTAAAAGGGAGGAGGGATTTGCTGCTTGGGTGTATTCAGCGACTGCTTTAATTCTAACTGCTGCATCTATCCATTCCTGTGCCAGCATAAGTAGAGCTAAACTAAATAAAATAGGTTCAAAGTTAGTGGTTAAGTTCCACATACGGGAGTGAAGAGATGTAACAATTATGCTGAAATAGTGTATACTGGTATAATTTAGAACTGTCAAAATGGTTACATCTCTCAACACGCTCTATAGAAAGGAAACCTGGTCAGTGAGATGGAAAGAAGAAAAAGCTGTCAAGAGACTAAAATGAGGATGCTAAAGTGAATGTTGGATATTTCACTGAGAGGGGGACATAGAAATAACAATATGAGGAGATAGCTGGGTGTGAAGACCATTGCTGAGAAATCCAGAGAGGCCAGGCTGACAGAGCTCAGGCGAGTTCTGCATAGGAAATATAGTGGGAAGTGTAGAGAAGATGAAAATTGAAGAGAAGAGGAAGAGAGGATGGCCAAGGTTGAAATGGAAGGATCTAGTCAGGAAAGACACGAACAAACATGGAGTTAAGAACAGAAAATACCACTGAATGGGACAAGAGGAGAAGCAACACCCAAGCTACTGACCCGGTAACTGAGTAGAACTGAAGGCTAAAATCAGAGAAGATACAGTAACAACTGATTTTGACAAAGAAAAATCCATGCAAAGTACCTGCAGTGTAAAGACTGTTGCATTCCTATAACTAGGATTAACCCAGCAAACCTGAATGTGACTGAATACCACATTTTCTTTGTTTGTGATGTTTTCTGTGATACTGAACTGTGTCCTTGAATTTTAAGTGTAAGTAATAAATAACAAGGAAGGAGATGACAGAGAGGAGAGAAGACAGAAAAAAAGAGAATGGATACATTTTTGTGGGGTGAGGCAGATATACCATGGAAAGCAATATTAATGGGTGATGATATAATCTCCTGTAAGAGCTCTGAGAAGAAAACTAATTCAGCCAAGTAGCTGTTTTGGGAAAGTGACCTCTTTTTGAATTCAATTTCCAAATAAAACTCTATTTGACGTCAGTGCTGCAGGAACAAAATTTTGAACTGATGCAGGAGACTTTCTCAGCAACAAGGGCTTTATTTGGCATTGTGCTAAGCATTCAGGGGTTTGATCCTGCACCCATTGTATTTGATAATGAATCTCCCTTTAACTTCAGTAGTTCAGGATCAGAGTGGGCACAAAAAGTGGAGGGATGTCTGCAGAAAATTTAGATGAAAACCAAAAAAATTTGTTTTCATCCAATTTTTCAGTCTCAGACTGATTAAACCCGTGTGTTTTTTTTCCTGTTGAAAACCCAGTTTTCCATTAAAAAGAAAAAGTCTTCAGTGGAAAATTTTCAACCAACTCTGTCAGGTGCTTGTTAAGATACTGAATGCCCTTACCTCCAGGGTAATTGAAAGCAATTGTAGGACCGTTCAGAATGATGTTTTAAAATTTAAACTCGGACAGATTTTGTATATCATAGAGTAGGGCTTAATAAAAACCATGGCATGAGCTTCAAAGGATTCCATGTTTAAGAAAGAATTTATGTTTTAGTGGCATCTTTTACTCCAGAAT